AAAAGAATAGGAGAGCAAGAAACATAGCCATTAGGACGGGCATTAGCCAGGAGAACCACTGTGAAATGTTCCCTAGAGGATTCCAAGAGTCCTCCAACTCCCTTCTCTGTTTTTCCAACTGCTCCTAGAGTTGTCTAATTTTATTTTTTACTACTCCCGACTGGTTAACATAGAAGCAGCATTCTTCTTGTAGAAACAGGCAGAGACCACCCTTCTCAGCAGTGAGCAAGTCAAAGCCTCATCGGTTTTGTAGTACAACCGAGGCTAGGGAGTCAAGTTGTTTCTGTTGGGTTAGGATAGACTCGGCCACCGTGTGAAGATCACTTACCAATTGATTAGAGAGTTTTGGGTAGCAGTGGATAGAGGTCCCCATTCCTGCAGCCCCTGTTCCCATGGCAGCTGTTATCTTGATAGTTTTAAAATGCATGCTGTGTAGCTTCAGTCCTGCTGTTTGGTGATTGCACAATCATCTTCTGTTGACTACTCAGAAAATCCACTATATTGGCTCTTTTTCTTTATTTATACTCACCCAGTTTGCTCGTGCTCAGCAGTTATTTTTATTTTATTAGATATGAACCATTAATTTAAAGTTTTCTGTTACCATCTTCAATCCCCATCAGCCTTTCACCTCAAACTATATTTGTCTCTATCCTCATTTCTGCTGCAAAATCTCCTGTAGCTCCCTCCACCCCTTAGGAAGATATAGTTCTTCTGCACCAAGACTTGTTGACATGCCTTTTTTCTAATATATATATATATGTAAATATATATATAAATATAAATATATATATATATATAATGGCGATGTCAAATAACCTTGAAAGGCTTATTCAAAAATTATCAACCCTCTGGTTTTACCATTTTTCAACTCTTTTGGATGTTTTTTCTTTATATTTCACTTCCAAATTAAAAATAATATGCTTGTAGCACTTTCTCTTGAATCATTTGTACAACTGCCTTCTGTAGTTATAACCACAACTCCCGATTATGTGAGTGTTAAATATAAATAATATAAATATGTAAATTTCATTCACAGCTGAGTCAAGTAGTATACTATAATAAAATTTCTTATTGTACAACCTATCCCCTCCATGAAGTGTTTAATTCATCTCCCTCCCTCCCTCTTTCCCTTCCTTCCTTCCGAGTCTAGTTCTGATATATGTGTGTCCTTTGAGACTTTTCGGGGACTTAAGTATGTTTTGTAATTTTTTTGTTGAAAGCTGGACATGTATCAGATACAAGGAACTGAGGGATCTTAAAAGTCACAATCAACTACTTCAGACCACAGCTGGTGCAAGGTGTGCTATTTTGCCTCATCTTTCCCCTGAAACTCATAATTCCCCTTCTTAACCTTTTCTTCTCTGCACACAAATATATGCAGAATTTGTCATCTTGAGAAAATTTTCTCTGTGCCCTAACCCCATACATGGGGTTTTTCTTATTCCTTCCACTGGCAAACAGCTCAGTAGAGTGTATACTCACAAAGTATAGTTTCTTGCTGCCCACAGATCCACAGATTCTTATTAATACCTTATATTGTAATCTGACTACGTCTCTATCACAACTGACGAAATCTGTCCCCAAAGTCACCCAATGAGCTAACTTCCAGATCAGTGGTCTTTTCTCAACAAGTTTGATCCTCTCCTTTTTGCAATACTCATCTCCTAAGCTACATAATTGCTTTATCCTGGGATCCCCGGTACTCCTCTATGGGTTTGATATCTCTCTCTGTCTCTCTCTTCTGCTTTACTCCATCCTGCCCACTACCACAGACATACACTAGGGCTCGCCTTTGGTTTTATTGTTTCTCTTTCACTACCTACATTTTATCTAGTATTCTGGATGAAAATCTTCAGTCAGTAACTGTCTGTTGAGCTTTGATACTGTATCTCCATATATTTGCTTGATATCTTCATTTATATCTCAGATGGACACTTCAAATTCAATCTATTTTTTACCATTTATCTTTTGCCCAAATTAACTCCACCTCCTGATGCACTTAAGTATAGTTTGGTCCTAACATTTTTATTTCTATTTAAGTTCAAAACCTTGAAATCATCTTTAATCTTCCTTACTCTCTACCCTTCCATATTTAACTGATCTTTGTACTGCCTTACATCTTTCCTTCCTTTTCTTTGCATTGTCCAGGTTACTTTAGTTACTTTCAAAGTGGTCCTCCAGATTCTGGTGTCTTCTCTTTCAATCAATGCTGTGTTACTGCCAAGTTGCCTGGCTATTTAAACTGCCCCTTTATAAAATAAGTTAAGGCAACCAACTCAAAGTAAGGTAATTTCTCTAACAGTTATTCAATATGTCATTTATTGACACTTAACAAACTAAATAATTTATTATTTATAAGGACTTTACCCTGTCTCTTCCATTCTGTATTGCCTCTAAGGGCAGGGCTATAGTTTGTTTTGAAGTCTTCAAGCACCTCCCACTTCTCTGGATCATAGTTCTTGCTTTGATTGCTGCTGCTGATAAAAATACCGTATCTTTCCATAGAGGGCGAACTTCTGTGACTGGTGAACTGAGAACTCAGAAGGTGGGTACTGAGTTTGAGTTCATGAGAACAAGTGGACCTCACTCTGTTCCCTTGGTAGTAAAGGACTCCCAAGATCCCAGGGGCATAAAGGAGAATAGATGTCAAGGCACTGGATGAAAGAAGAAAAGATGATCGATTGTTGACCACTTTTAGGCTGGTGAATATTATCATTACGACTAAAGTCAGAAGCAAAATTTAAAATTTCAAATGTCCTTTCCTTTGCTGCATCAATAACTTTACCTTCATCTTCAAAGCAGGGCAAGTAATTAATCTCTTATGTGCAAGGAAACAAAACATTTGAAACTCACTTTGTAGATGGTTGAACGTGGTTGTAAAAAATAACAACCAAAATGAAACCAGACTTAGAAGCAGTAGCAGTTATTCACACTTCAGGAATCCCGAACTTAATAACCATGAACAGAGCCCTGATAAACAGAAAGTTCTGGAAATAAAGATTAATTGTCATGTAATCTCCTTTCTTGAGTTAACTATCATCTGGGAACCTTGATACAAATGCTGAAATCTTTACCATCTATCTTAGGGGACTCACGTGCCTTATGTCCCCCTCAGAGATACGTGAATTTCAGATGTGAAGCATTTAATCAACTCAGTCCCAATTTTTAATCACTGCTGTAAAAGAAACTGCCTCTTTCTTCCCTCTTACTGTTGGTTAAATAAAAATAGCAATAGATACAATCTGCTCTGAGCAAACAGACCATACATCAATAAGTAATATTTAGCCTAAGCTATTTTCCATGAGACTCATGAAGCATTTCTAATTGAATCTTAACAAGCTTTTACCCAGCAAGCACTGATCTTCAGTTCTAGAAGAGAAACAGGATGCCACAAGCCGACAGAGAAGCCTTTTAATTTAGTTGGGAGAGAGGGTGATTGTGAAGTTGTGTTGTATAATTTTTAATTGCTAAAGTGTCATTGTTTTTTATTTCACATTTGTTGAAAAATGCAAATGCCCCATTTAACAGAATAGATGTAAGTTTTTGTTCTACTCTGATGACTTAATTTTACTAATCATGATAATATATGCCAGCTGGAGTTGAGAATATTTAATAAAATACTGGAATAAATTTATTGTGCTTACATTTCAAGGGAATTAATAAAAACACCTTCATCTGCAACACTTAAAACTTTGCTGACTTGACATTTGTATGAACAGGATGGGGAAGATCACTTGTGGAGAAGTGTGTACCTCTGTAAGGATGTGAGTCATTTAGCACGCGTGTGGGTGTGCCGAGACTGAGTTACAATGGCCTGAGTAGGGAGAGACACTGGGCTGAGAGATTGTCCTGCCTGAAATCACAGAGGTGGTGCCTGGGCCTTCTTCTCTTCAAATGCATATGTTATTCACAAATCATACAGACATAGACAAAATGAACACCATGGCTTATCATTTCTGTTCAAAGGACTGTGATGTCATGGTTGTATTTTGTTGTAGGAGGTAGGTATGACTGTTCTGACTAAATCTTTCCTCCTCTTTCCCTCCACAGCTCAGGTGGTAGGCGTGGGACCGGTAGTGACCTCCTTCTCCACACGGTTGTGTACAGAAATTGATACAGATAAGTTACTTGCTAAGTCAGAGCTGAAAGCTAAAACAGACAGAAAAGAAAAAGGTGAATAAGATGTACCCTAAGTGAAGACCTTGATGGATTTTTTTTCAGAAAACACTCAACACCTGTGGTATTTGAAGTTCACTAGGAATGGGGGAGAGAGAGAGAGATGCCCCCAAAGTCCCAATGCCCTCACTAATCCAGTTTGTCTTCTTTGAGGGCTTCCTAGATTGGAGGCTGAGGCAGGGCCTTCCCTCTACTACAAGGTGGTGTGCCCCTAACACCACTCCCAACCCCCCCCCTCCACCGTGAGCACCTTATCTACTGGAAAATCTGCCAAGGTCCTCTCAACACTGGAACTGCAAAGTTCCAACGTGGCTGTCCCCACCTGTTCCTCCCTCCAGGACTCCAGACAATTCCTAATCTGCTCTAGCAATGCCAAAGTGGTTTCCCTGGGCCTCCAGTGGAAGAAAAGAGAACGCAGGTGCTTCCCGCAGGCGGGCTCCGCGACCCCGCGCCCAAGTCGGGGAAAGTTGGGCCGCTGTCCTGTGTCCTCCAGAGATGCCAGCCCCGTGGCTTCTCCCGGACAAGGCGGCGCGTGGGGAAGTCGAGGTCGCCCAAGCATCCTGTGACGACTGGCTCCCGCGAGCTGGGAAGAACAGGTGTCCTTTCTCCGACGTTCTCCAGCGGCACCGGTCGCACCTGGGCTCGCCGGATTCTCCAGCCCCGGCATCCCTCGCCCTTTGCGCCCCTGCCCTCCCTCCCCATGTCAGGGCGGAGGGAGGCGCCTGATCGTGGGTAATTATTGCCAGCGGGGCCCGTGGGGACCGGGGGTGGGCGCGCGGGCGGGCGCGGGCTTAAAGGGGCGCGGCGCGGGCCCGGCACCCGGCTCCCCGCAGCATGGCCGCCAGCGCCCCTCCGCGCCGCCCGCCGTCGCCGCGGCTGCTGCTGCTGCTGCTGCTGGCCCTGGGCGGCCGCTGCCTGCGCGCCGAGCCCGGCGACGGCGCTCAGACCTGGGCCCGCTTCGCGCGCCCGCCCGCCCCCGAGGCCGCGGGCCTCCTGCACGATACTTTCCCCGACGGCTTCCACTGGGCCGTGGGCAGCGCCGCCTACCAGACCGAGGGTGGCTGGCGACAGCATGGCAAGGGCGCGTCCATCTGGGACACGTTCACCCATCACCCTCCGGCGACCCCGGGCGACCCCCCGATCGCTGACCCGCCGTCGGGCGCCCCGTCTCTTCCTCAGCCCGCTACTGGAGACGTGGCCAGCGACAGCTACAACAACGTCTTCCGCGACACCGAGGGGCTGCGCGAACTCGGGGTCACCCACTACCGCTTCTCTATATCATGGGCGCGGGTGCTCCCCAATGGCAGCGCCGGGGCCCCCAATCGCGAGGGGCTGCGCTACTACCGGCGCCTGCTGGAGCGGCTGCGGGAGCTGGGCGTGCAGCCCGTGGTCACCCTGTACCACTGGGACCTGCCCCAGCGCCTTCAGGACGCCTACGGTGGCTGGGCCAACCGCGCCCTGGCCGACCACTTCAGGGATTACGCCGAGCTCTGCTTCCGCCACTTCGGCGGCCAGGTCAAGTACTGGATCACTATCGACAACCCCTACGTGGTGGCCTGGCATGGCTACGCCACCGGGCGCCTGGCTCCCGGTGTCCGCGGCAGCCCGCGGCTCGGGTACCTGGTGGCGCACAACCTTCTTCTGGTGAGTGCGAGGGGCCAGGTACAGGGCCACTGTGTGAGAGAGAGAGAGAGAGCGCGAGCTTTGGAGGTGCCAGGGACAAAAGGGGGATTTGAGTTTCCAGATCACACGAGGCCTCACTTGTACTCCTTGGTGGGGTCACCCATATCACATCTCTGTGGGGATCTGGGCAACCCCGGCTTCCTTTGGAAGACTTGGAGTTAGAAACCGCAGGGAAATTGGCGGTGCACGCATGTGAGTGAGCGCGTTTGTCAAAAGGAGCCCACTTGTCAAAAGGAAACAGTAATCAGTTTCTCCAGTGAGGAAAGGAAACTCCTTTCGCGGGTTGTTGAGGAATTCCTAGAGGTAAGCGCTGGGAGGATTTGCTAGTGGTAGCTTCAGGGAAAGAATAAGGAGGGTGGATGAAAGAAACAAGTTCACAAACTGCACAATTAGGCATTGCACTCTGCCAGAGCTCAGAGTTAATCCGAGCTAGTGGCACAAGGTCACTTTGCATCAAGTGCGAAGGTGTCAAAACCGCATCTCCTGGAAGGTTTAAATTGTGTTTGGAGTTCCCTACCCTTCAGGGGCATGATAGAGAATTGTACCCACCCACCTTAATCACCAGGGATCTGAAGACGGATTACACACTCTTAACGAAGCTAGGCATAAAAGTACAGAGCCAACTGCAGGGTAATACAGATCGTGTATCTGCACCATCTGTATCTACACAGTGCTCTCTAGTTGAAAGGGTTCCTCACTGATGAGATTTGCAGCCTGACAAAAGTAATTTTAACACCCTTGTGCAAAAGATACCATAAATTTTGACAGTAGGAAATACTGATATGTCATCATAAAATTGTCTCTCAACTATTTCTTCCTTCTTTTTTATTCTTAGTATTCAAATCTCCATTAATTTGGGAATTCACTTATACTACCAGCTGTTGGTACACCTTGCATAGGGTTTTGTATCATGATAAAATATTTTATGTCCAAGTGTAAACATTCTCACAAAGGTGCATTAAGTGTACAAGTTTTGGTACCCTATATCAGTGTCTACTGAAGGGCCCCTTTTTGAGTTTAGAATCAAGCCACATGTTCTGAACAAATTCAAGACAAAGACTAGTTCTTAATATTTTTAATTAAAGCCATAGATAATGAGAGAACAGTACTGGGCTATTGAGTTGGCAGTGCTCTGAGCTGCTGTAATGTAATAATGGCTAAATTAAATTGTGTGTCAGCTTCACAAAACCTGTGCTACCATTGGCCATACCACAGTGTTGGTTTTGTTTAAAAAACTGTGACTTTAGTGATTTCATATTGATACATATCTTTTCATAAGGGTATGTTAGGGCAATGATTCTTAAACTTGCCTGTTATTTTAAGGAGTCAATGAACCCTAAACACCAGTTAATTGTTGGTGATAGAAAAAGGTTATTGGGGGAAACTGTGTCACCTTTTGAAGAAAAAACAAATAGATTTGTGGGCCACCTGGAGCATCTGATTCACCATCCCGATAAAATCACTTCTTGGTTTAAATCATACAAGTTCTATTTTTAGAGTGCATATAACAAACTCTTGTGTGTATACAAAAGAAGCCAATTGTTACTATAGTGACTAATGATTTTTTCATTTATAGGAAAAGGAACTGCATTGAATTCTCTATACTTGTATTTTAAATAGTCAATGTCCTTTAGATTCTCGTGCCCACTCTTGGCTTCATGGTTAACTTTTCAGTTATATTTTTGAAGAATTACACAAAAATTTTGGCAAACAGTAACTACTCTTCCTAGAGATGCAGTGAACTTTGAATTCATTAGAAATTAGTAACCAGTGGGCATGGTTTGGTTTTGCTGATGCTGCAAACAAAATGTTAGTTACTATAACATACTAATTTTAGTTTTAAATTTCTTTGAATTTGGAACTTAGTCATTCTTAGGTCTTATTTAGAAGTAAGTACCACTATCCAAAAAATTATCTTAAATTTATTTTGTTATGTGAGATTCTTTCATTCTGTTTTCAGTGCTCTTATTTGGTGTTTGTGGGGGTGGAGGATAGGAATGTTTTGACTTTAGCTGAAAAAGAGGAAAAAAAAATCTGCAGATTTTGGTAATTGGGCATTTTCAGCTGCGGCTTAGCCATTGCTGCTTTGTAGAATTAGGGACCAGTGAGATTTAGGGATCTAATGCTGGTGAAAGACAAAGTAAGCCAGCACCCCTCCCACCTGTGTTTCCACTAATTTACAAGTTGGCTAAGGGGACTCCTAGAGACAATGGACAGTTGTAACCTCCCTTCACTACCTTCCAGAGCCATTGTCTGATGACCTGGAGGTTAAGAGGCAGGGCAAACAGATTGCAGGACAAATAATGGGGGGTCCTGCTCACAATGGAGGTTTCTGTGATATTTGGGGGTTTCCGGTGCTAGTGTGAGCCTTGACAAAAATGGTGTTTGTGTGTGTGATGGGGGAGAATGAAAGAAAGATCTCTCTGTAGAACATGGAGCCTGGTTGTTTTGTGCATTTGAGTATAACCTAAAAGGAAGACACACCTTTCCTCTCTCTGGTTGGAGGTCACACTGCTCAGCTTTTATGGCTCTTGGAATAAGGTTCTTTTTTTTTTTTTCTAGAGGTCTCTTTGTTCTATTTCATATAAGTGTATGAAGTCCATCAACTATACACCCTCACCTTAATCTTCTTCATTCACATTCTCCCCTCCTACAAGTACCCCCCCACACACACTGTACCTATTCTACAGTCCTGTCTTTCATTGTTAATATTTAATCGATGTTCAAAGGGGTATCTCAATGTGTGCCAGGTGCTGGTGGCTCACAGCTGAAATCCTAGCTACTCAGGATGCGGAGACCAGGATTATGGTTTGAAGCCAACCTGAAGAAACAGAAACCCAACACAAAAAAGGGGCTGGTGGAGTGGCTCAAGATGTAGGCCCTGAGTTCAAACCCCAATAAGCAAAAACATAAAGTGTCAGGTGGAAACTCCAGGAATGATCGTCCCCTGCCCAGAGCCCACCTTAGCCGAGATGGTGAAGGACAGGCCAACCACATATCTGGAGAGACTGCAGACATTAGCACCACCATAAAAGACATGAAGAAAGGGATGCTCATTGCCTGTCACACCCCTAAACTTCTCACCCTCTTGGGCTGGGCAAAGGTCAAAGGGTGTGAGATGATGAGAGAGTGTTGCCGTATAATCTGGGGTGAATCAATAATGGCACCCAAAGCTTAGTTCCATCTGCAGTATCTTTCACTGAAAAGGGCCAACAGTTACCTTTACCCATGACTCCCGAGGACCATGTCAAATGTCTGGCATGATCTAAGTTATCCTGACTTGTCACAGAGCATCATGCTGTTCCATTGATATGGTATGGACAGGATGCTGACTGGCCATGGTGACAGGTCATGTCAAGTTCCCTATAGCCCTAAGAAGGCATCTACATGCCAGAATCAGGAGGATAACTCCTCGGAATGTCTACAGCCCTGTTCTGTTGAGTGTCTTGGGGGGTCCATGGAGTGAAAACTGTGAGCATTCCCATCTAAAAGTTAAGAACAAGTTGTTAGAGGCCAATATATATACCATGCTCTGGGTACAAGCTGCTACAGTTTTCACTTACCAAGGAACAGGGAGTGGTAGTTTTAGTTGAAATAGAAATCAAGAAAGGTTCTCCAGCAGGTTCTGGTTCGGGTAATGGGAGCCAAGCTGCCAGCCATCTAAGTATTACCCTGAGGTCTGGGGAAATGTCTGTGGAGTCCCAGTGGAGCTCTTGGCAAGCCCCATGTTCCTTCCTCCATCCTAAAAAGCAGACCAGGACTGGCTGCTGGGGCCTAGAAAGACTCTTACAAACCTCACCAGGAGTACCAATGACAGCAAACGCCTTGTCCACCAGGACTTAAGTCCAGCCAAACCTCATATCAACATCACCAAACTGGAGGTAGTAATAGGAAGCCAGGCCCAAAGAAGGTCCAGAAAAACGGGGGTGAAACTAGCTGTTGGTATTACTTGACATGGCCTCAATTGCTACTGCATTCCACCTCCCCCTAAACCACACCTTCAAACTACATGTGTCATTATTCACCTATGGCTAAGTAAAACTCCATTGTGTATATATAACACATTTTCTTGATCCATTCATCAGTTGATATGTCTAAGCTTTCCTCAATTTGGCTTCGAGATCCCCCACTCTTCTTGCTTCTCCTCACAGCTTCCTATGATTCCTTTGGTCTCCGTTGTTTGTTCCTTCCTCTGCACTATGCCTGGAAAGAGTTGGGCATCCAGGGTTCTGTCCTGGGCTTCCCATGTAGACTCACTCCAGGTGATCCCTTTGAACACCCTCTGCATTCTGACATCCAAGTGTTGAGTTTCCAGCTGGGACATCTCCCCTGAGTTCCAGACTCGGATAGACTACTGCATTGTCCACTTAGCTGCCTAATGGTTAAGTTACATGTAACACACCCAGAACCAAATGTCTATTTTCCATCTCTGTTATGGCACCTGGCTCTTCCTATTGGTTGGTCCCAAATCTTAACCTCCCCCTTCTCACAAACCTTACAGCTCTACCTACCACAATGTATCTGGAATCAAATCCTTTCCACCCTTATTTGTGGCTACTACTGAGGCCCAGACCACCATGGGGTTTTGCTGGGTAGTTGGAACTACCAGCCTCACTGGTGTCCTTTTTCTCTGCATTGTGTCCTGATGGGTATTTTCCCATGTGTCATTATGTATAGACATGGCATATCCCTGCTTATTAAAATACCACCTTTTTTTCAAGAACCAAGTTGCACACTCCTGTGCCCCCTCTTATTTAACCATTTCTCTCTCTCTCTCTCTTTCTCTTCAGCCACTCCATTCCACATAGCTGTGCAATTCTTTAAATGGAAAACATTATTTCCTTCATCTGTTTATTCTGAAATGATACCATTCGCTTGCTGGTGCCTGATTGCTTCATTTTGTCTTTGTAAATTTTTGCTTTTGGAGTTTGTTCTTGTCAATCTTTCTAGCTACGGGGGAC